CTGAAATAAAAATTATAAATATTTATCTAGGGGTGTCTTGATAGACAAAAAAATTTTTTTTTCAAAAGATTGTTTAAGAAATTACTTTTATTGTGTCATTCGGAGCGGCTCTAAATTCCAATTCGAATGGTTTGCCGACTGAGAATGGAAAACCTCCTGTAGTCTCTTTCTTTATCCATCCTTTGCCATTTATTAGCCAAGTGTCGCGTACAACCTTAAAATAGAAAGATTCGGACGATTTTTGCCCGTCTTAGTGAGAATATAGAATGACAGTAAAGCGGCCCAAAATGTGTAAGAAAATAGTAAAAGATAAAATGTGATCATGAAAGTTCTCCGATGCAAGGTTATTAGCTCAATAATCCTACCCCGAACAGATCTTTTCTTTTTGCTTAGTAAAGGGGGGGGGAATTATGGAAAAATTGAGAAAATAATCTGGGAAAAATTTTGGGCTAGTTTGGGTATGTTTATCTGCTCATTCGTTTTATTTTAATGAATTTAAACAGTAATTGGGATATTTAAGCTTGACATAAATCCACGGCTAGACCCTTAACTTACTTGATTTTCAGTAAAGCGTGGATTGAAGTGAAACATAATGTTAGAAGGTCTACTAATCGGCACACCATCTTCAACTAGATCAATGTAAAATTGTGTTCGTCTAGTAGGGATCCCCATAAAGTAAATACGCTTTGGGGGTGCAAAGCCTTTTCCAAATCCCCAAGCTGTAAAGTTGATTGTTGTTGGTATTTTCTTAAATAAATCCAGAAAATTAATAGAATATTTAATTAAAATCATTTTACAACCCTTACTTTTACAAGATCATTTGTTAATGTAATTTTATAAAAATTTTATTTATCCGATATAGTTTAAATTCGGGTAGATCCCCGAGCCTTCGAGGTCGGGATCGTCGGGAATCGAGGTTTGCCAGGGTAGAGACTTCGGGGTTCGGATCGGGGTTTTTTGCCAAAAAATCGTAGGGGTAAGGGTCGGGGAAGGGGAGCTACCCTACTTTAAATAATTATGAAAGAGAAGCAAAATTTTGTAAATGGACAGGCATAGGTCCTGCCTGCGACTTAGCTAGTATAGCTCTACCTCTGAGCTACCGAGGCGCTACCTTGTAGAGCATTGTCTACGTGTTTTAAATACTAGACAGTTAACAAAATTTTAAAAATCTCCTTATCCTACCGGATTATCAAAAACAACCGCATTGTAGCATGTTGCAGTTACGATTGTAGTTAATAAAAAGCTCGTACATATTATTAACAAAAGAAAAGTTATCAACTACAATTTGAATATTTTCTTCTTTTAAACTAAAAATCTTTCTACCTTCATTACTGAAATTAATAAGAATATATTTAAATTTTATTTTATTGTTAAAATAATTGGTTGAAATTATTATTTATATGTTTGATTTTATCATTAAAATTGCTTAAATTTGAAGTCTTCATTCATAGCTTTCATCAAAATTTTTAATTTTTTTTTGTAAATATTCAACACCTAATTTTAATTGACAATACAAATAAACCAACATTAACAAACAAAAGTTGTCACATCTCAACCGTTTATAAAACCTCAGTTATTTTGATCAAAACGTTTTTTTTTAAATTTTGAAATTCAATTGTTAAATGTATTCTTTGTATTTTCAATTTACATTGTTTGTTACTATTGTATAAGACAAAGTTTTTATATTGGTAAGGAAACTTTTTTTTATAAATTTTTAATATTTCGTAAACACATTTTGCTGTCAATATTTATAAACTTCCTTGTTTATATTTTAAAATTTGGATTTTAGTAGAATGAATATTAAAGAACTAGAGTAGATCGGCAGACTGATTTGTTTTTTTAATGAAAAGCTCGAATCTTTTCCAATCTCGGTGATTTCGGTGTTATTCATCCCCCTTCGAATAAATTATAATTTACATATTCGAATTTTTCACTCCCAGAAAGCTTGCCCCCCTCTCCCTATTTATATTTTGGGGACTTCTTTCTCTGCCCATATGTGAGTCCGGGAATTAATTTTGGTGTTGTTCGACTCATCTCGCAGAACTCTTTCGAATGACTCGAAATGAGCTCTAATATTGTTTGCCCGAATCGGAGCTTGGGAGATATGATGGAATTTTTCCTAATTCATGAAAATTGGGATTGACCTACTGAGAAAATATTTTTAAACATGTATACATTTTATTCTTGTTTATTTTACAATATTAAAAAGTATAATATTTTATTATATTATTTGTCCCAAAAATATTTCACAATCTTTAATTAGAATAGAGAAAATTTTGAGCGATTATGATTGCTTCTCTTCTTATTCTACGAATACTGGTTTTTAGGCTTTCTTGTTGTAATTGGTGGTTTTCCTGTAGTAGTTGATCCATATTCATTAGGACACATAATCAAAGTGTCTAATCGAAATCCTTCAATGTATAGTTGACTAACATCCTTCAAATCGTAATAATAGAAACTTGCAGAATATTTATTATTGACATAAATCTGTGAAAAATTCAATTAAACCCCAGATTAGATAAAGTAGAAAATTGCCATTATTGGATCTCTAGGCGTCGCAACAAATTCCAAAATGAATGGTTCGCCAGCTCTAAATGGATTACGAAAACCAATCTCACGACGCATTCCATTTTCTACCGTCCAACTGTGCATAAAGACCTCAAATTAATTTTAAATTCAATTTACTAAGTGTAGAAATATACTAGTACCATGCCGGTTTGGAAGCGTGGATTGAAGTGGAATGGCACGTTAGCAGTTTTGTACATTATACCATCCTCACCAAAAATAATTTTAAATTCATTTGTCCCTTGAAGAGGTACTCCTTTAAATATCATACGTGTAGGTACTTTAAGTCCTTTCCCAAATCCAATTTTTACAAGATCGATAGTTGATGGTACTGGCTTAATTTGATAATTATTTCACTTTAATTTTCAAAATTTTTCAATCTTGTCATATTTTTTTAATCCATAAGTAGCTCTCTTGAAGAGGCACTCTTGATTCCATTGTGGATACCCAAAGATTTTCCAAGAACTGATAATTCTAAAATTTTTCGGTTCAATTTTTCGACCATGCTTTAAGTCAGACGTTTTCACAGGTACGAATATATCCTCAGATACGGATATGAAAATTTGAAAAAAGAAGGATACGGTCCAGCAGCGGATAACCAAAGATTTTCAAGAACCGACAACCCTACTGATGAATATCTAATTCATTTAATTCAAAATTTTATCAAGTAAAAAATCCTCTAACCACGTTGTGTAAATCTATAGTTTTGGGGCAACGTGGATAAGGCGTTGTTGGTGCCTCTGTTGATGGTAATTCTCTAACTTTCAAAGCATTGGGACACAAAGTCAAAGAGTTGAATCGAACGGTGTTTTCCCCAAAAACATATATTTGAATAATTTGGCTCAAAGAATAACTACGGAAGTATGAAAAAAATTTATTATTGATACTGATCTACAAAAAAATAAATTTTAAATAAAATAAATAGAATACACATACATAGATTACATCCATGGGTATTGCAACAAATTCCAAAATGAAAGGTTCTCCAGCTTTAAACGGAAAACCACCTGAAATATCCTCACGACCCCATCCTATGTTTTTTATCCAAGTATTACGAACAACCTCAAATAAATAATTTTATAATATAGTAGGTAACATTTCTATAGGAAGGCATCTCTGGATATTGTGGATTTTGTGTTATAACGAGATTTGGAGGATATTGAGGGATTAAGGGGATATCGGGTTATTAAAGATATTAACGAAGATATCGACGATATGAGAGTACTTTTTCTAGTCTCAGTGTGCAAAACAAATTGCGATATTCCTAAACTTTAACTTAACCAGTGCGCAAAAGCGCGATGGTTCCCAGTAATATAGAATTAACATATAGTAAGAGCGAGGTAAAAGTTTAATCCCGGGCAGGCTTCGATCCTGCGACCTCCTGGCAATTATTGCTAGGCGCTTTCGCTCACCACGTACAGGTGCTCTACCAACTGAGCTACCGGGACGCTGCTTTCACCTTCTCTTTTTCAATAGATCTTACCCCCCCCTTAGTGAGCGTTTTAAATGCTAGCCAGCTGGATCTTTCTCTTCCTTACAATATGTACCTTCTGGGATTGGAAGTGTGGATTGAAGTGGAGTTGAATGTTAGCATTTAGGTGAAACATCCCATCCTCTACAAAATTTATTTCAAATTCGTCTGGCTGTTCAAGAATCGTCCCATTAAATATAATGCGTTCTAGCATATCAAATCCTTTTCCAAATCCGGCTGCTACAAGATCGACAATTGATGGGATTGGTAAATCATTAAAAACAATTGGATTCGTACAATTATTTTTATAAACATTTGGGGTGTCAATTGTAGTTGCCGTGAAGCTCTCAACTAATTGCAAAAAGAGAAGTGATGTCAACTAAAATTTGAATATTTCTTGACTAAATTTTTGCTTACCTTCATTATTAGACTAGATATAATATTATTGAAAATAATTTAAATTTTATTTTGTTAAAGCTAATTGGTTAAATTAATCATTTATATGTTTTATTAATAAAAGATTTGTTTACATTTTTAATTGTTTCTTAATTCAAAAATGGTTTAGCAGAAAAAATAAATATCAACAAGCAAGCCTTCCCGATCATGTAGTAAAATTTATCAAAAAAATTTTTTTCTAACAAATAATTGTTATTCAAATGTATATCGAAGGAAATTTTTTTAAATTCTTGTTTGTATAAGGAATAAATTTTCCAAAAAAAAACATCTTTAAATTTTTTCCTAAACAAATTTTATTGTCGTAAATTTTCTTTCTTTTAACTTCCTCATTGATATTGGTTGATTTTAAACACTCAAATTGTCAGTATTTTTTTATTTAATAAATATATTCTTGCGAATTTTATTAAAATTAAAATTTAAATAATTATTTATGAAGGTAAACAAGATTCTTAATTTATAATCAAGAATTCAATTCAAATTTTAGTTGATAACACTTGTTTTGATAATAATGTGTACTAGCTTTATGGCAACAATAATCGAAGCAGAGGAACCAACTACGCCACCTCCTTTCTGTCGATTTAATCATATCGATATACCGTATCCGGTAAGACAATTTTTTGATTAATATCTTATTTTCTATTAATTAATACTGAAATTCGATTTAAACTATATTGGAATATTTTACTTAATATAACATTTGTTTTAAAATTTAAGAGTCGACCAACAATAATAGATCTTTGGAAGACAGAATTTGGACCCGGTTTTGGACTAAGCAAGAGAATTCGATTTACTGGTGTATATACTAATACAAGTGAACGTTTTATCATTAATTTGTATAGTGATGGAGTACCAGATGAGACTGCGCTAACTATATTTCATTTTAATCCACGTTTTGATGAAAGGCAGGTGAGTCGAGAATAATTTGAGAAAATTGAATATAAAAAATAATTATGTAAGGTAGTTCGAAACTGGTGGTCACCAACCAATGGTTGGTGGATAGAGCAACGTTCTGGAGGATTTCCTTTCAAAATTGGAGAACCTTTCGTTCTGGATTTTATTTCGTCATCAAAAAATGGATTCATTGTAACTAATTAGAGGATATTTAATATGGAATTATTCGTCAACAGGAATATTTAATATATTATTTTCAGGTTCATATTGATGGAAAGGAATTTCTACATTATTACCTAAAGGATTTACCTAGATTGAGCCTAGTGGAGGTATCTTCGGCAGTTGAGCTTAGCTCTGTGCAATTATGTTATAGAGAAACATTCTGTCATGTACACTCTATTTTAACGGATTTGGTTAGAGGATTTTAATTGAGATAACTTAAGGATCCTTAAAATATTAAGACAGTACCGGCAGTAATCGACTTTAAGAAGCTCGGATTTGGAACAGGCTTTGCACCACCAAAGCGCATTATAATTCTTGGGACACCTTTAGCACAGTCTGAAAGTTTTAGCGTTAACATTGGTGAACCTGGCCAATTGTTTGTAGATGCTAATGTGCTATTCCACTTCAGTCTACTTTTTAATGAAACACTGGTAATAAATATGAAAATGGCAAGAACTAAAAGGACCTTATTTAGTTTTTATTAAACACATGGATTGTAGGCAAAGGATGGGAACTAGAATATCGTTATCGTCCTAAAGGCTTTCCCTTTAATGTTGGAGAATCACATTTTTTGGAAATACGTCCATCATCAAATAATTGGATACATGTAGTTAATTCTTCTACAAAAATTTGTTTAATTTTTTATTCATTAGGCCTTTGTAAACGGCAATGCTTTCGGCATTAACCGATATGATTTGAGTAAAATCAGTCAAATGTCGATTGAAGGGGCAATCCAATTGAGTAAAGTTATTCTATGTAAATAAACAGAAATGTGAAGATAATAAAAGTGATATATAATTTGTTACGAAGTTTAATTTTTACTTGTAAAATAAGAAAACTTAAATTACTTATAATTGTGGAATAAAAAAGAATTGTTTATGAGAAAATTGAATGTTTGAAGCAATAATTACGGGATTGTCGACAGGGGGGGGGCTAAATATTTTCTAAGTTGTTGAATTGTTAATGATTCCAACTCTAGCGGAAAAACTAAATATTTAAAATGTAATATCGAGAAAATTTTTCAATTTAGGTCTGTCATCAAGAAAATATTAAGTGTAAGTAAAAAAAGTTTAATTTATGAGTAAATAATGGGAAATTTTTTCGATTATAAGTACACTTCAAAATTTTTCAAATTCGTTGATTCTGTCGTAGTTGATCCATATTCATTGACACTTAATCAAGGAGTCTAATCGAAACCCTTCAATATATAGTTGACTAACATTCTTCAAATCGTGATAACCCTTCAAACCGTAATAATAGACAGTTGCAAAATATTTATTATTCACATAGATCTAGGGAAAATTAAATTTAAAAAATTCATCAACAAGAAAATTACATATAGTAAATCTCTGGGCGATGCAAAAAATTCCAGAATAAAAGGTTCTCCAACTTTGAATGGATTACCATAAATATGCTCAACATCCCATCCACCGTATACTACCCAACTGCTTGTATGAACCTCAAAATAATTTTAATTTATACAGAAGAATAATGAGAAATTTTGAAATTTTACCAAGCCGGTTTTGAATCGTGAATTAAAGTGTAATGGCAGATTTGCAGTTCTTGCGCCACCATTTTTTGGTGACAAATTGCCATCGTCACCAAAATCAATTATCATTTGATTTGTTCCTTTAAGAGGCACTCCTTTAAATATCAGGCGTGTATTTGCCTTAAATCCTCTTCCAAATCCGATTTTTACAAGATCTATAGTTGACGGTACTGGCTTAAATTTATAATTTTTTTACAAGCTTTTAACTCCTTTAACCAACCACATTGTTTAAGGCGTTAGGATTGGGGCAAATCGAAGGAGACGTTGACGGTGCCTCTGTTTTAATTGTTGGCTTCAGCTCATTTGGATACAAAGTCAAAGAGTTAATTCGTAGTGCCCTTATCCCAGTAATATATAGTTGAGTAATTTTACTTAAATTTGAATTATGGAAGAATGTAAAAAATTTATAATTGACACTGATCTACAAAAAAAATAAATTTTAAAAAATTTATTTGAATATACTTACCTGTATTACATTTTTGGGCAATGCTAAAAATTCCAAAATGAATGCTTCTCCGGCTTTAAATGGAAAACTGCCAGATATATCCTCATGACCCCATCCTTTGTTCTTGATCCATGTGTTACGAACAACCTCAAATATATAATTTTACGGGTATTCAGAGGAGAATTTTGGAAGGCCAAGGGGCTAGATTTCTTCCTTCTTAAGCGTTCTCAAAAAATTTTAGAAGGTCAGGACAAAATTTTTCTAAAATAATGACTGTCATTAGGGGGTGTATTTTTTGCGAAATCTGGCGGAAGAAAATTCCTCCCTGCTAAACCGATCCCTAAAATCCATCCCAGTTAAACCACTTTTTTTAACCCACTTTAAGAGAGAGCGAAAGCATCAAGCAACAACCTATCTAGACTATTATGTAGGTATAGAGTTAATACCAGCTTGGATTGGAAGCGTGCATTGTAGTGGAGTTGAATGTTAGCATTTAGCATAAACAACCCATCTTCAAGCAAATTAATTGAAAATTCGTCTGGCTGTTCAAGAATCGTCCCATTAAATACCATACGATCTAGCTGATAAAATCCTTTTCCAAATCCCACTTTTACAAGGTCTATATTTGCAGGGACTAGCAAATGTTTAAAAACAATTGGATCGAGATCCGAGATTGCCATATAGACACCATAAATTTTTAACAAAAGAAGGGCTGTCACCTAAAATTATTTTACCTTAATTAAGATTAAAATCCTTCGTTAATAATACCTTCGTTAATAAAGCTGCCATTATAATTTAATTTTATTATTTTGTCAAAATAATTTATTGAAATCATTATTTATATGGGTGATATTTTATTAAAAAAATTGTTTATATTTTTAATCAGTAGTTTTTCAATTTATAAAAATAAACAAGACTTGATTTGTCACTTCTCAAACAGTTAAACGATGTTAAAAATTACAACTTTTTATTTTTTTGTCGTTTAAATGGACAACGAAACATTCTTTGTTATTTTCATACCAGGAAGGAATCTATGTCCAAAGAACATTTTTTTCCTAGACACGTTTTATTGTCACTATTTTTAACTTCCTACATATTTATATTTCTTGATTTTAACCTTCAAATTTTTTTCTATTTTTTGACAATATGGTTAACAATATGGTAAACAAATATGGTTAATAAGGCAAACAATTAAATTATAAGAGGGACCGTTATTTTGAAACTAATGGTACGGCATTATGCGTGTGTACAAGGGATGGGACGGGTTACTCGAAACACACCGCTGGCTTAAATTTTGGGAATTTTGGAAGACCAAAAAGCCAGATTGAAATACGTTATTGAATTCAAAAAAGGTCGATTAATATGGGTGTAAATTTAGGAAAGCTCTTTAAAGTCGAAACCGAGACTTCACCCCAAGACTAAGACCGAAAAACGCCAAGAAAAGTTTTAGAATCAAGACTCAAGACCAAGAGTCTCGGATGTCTCTAATTTTCGGCATTAGCTATATTTCTATTGTTCGTTACTATTTTATATGGTCGTGAGATAAAGTCTTTATTCTGTCTTTAACGCTAAACACATACATACTATTGTTAATTGTCTACATTTAATTTCTCCATCCATATTTTTTTAATTTAAACTCTCCGCATTTTTATTTAAATGAAAAATATTTTCAAAAAAAAATTTAGTTTTAAAAATTTAGTTCCGAAATTTACTACCAATTTAGTTCAATTTAGTTCAACAATTTAGTTCCGAAATGGAGGTAAACTAGCTTTGAATCGCCACCCAATTCTACATATTCATCTTTCAAAAGGCCATACTACTAGAGGGGGACGTCCAAATGGAGAAAGCCATTCTAGTAAAGATAAAACGATAGATTTTGGTAGGCCGTAAGGGAAAAAATGGCATTTTATTTTAAAGACTACAAGAAAATATAAAAAATCCTCCTTATCTGACCAGAAAAATCCGAATTTTTAAAAATCCTCATCGACGTATCAAAAAAATCTGGACAATTATGAGCCCTGATTAATACTATTAAATAGTAATTTTATTATATATTTTTGTCTTAACAATATTTTATATTTATAATAATTTAATCATAATCTCTCTTTTAATCATTATCTCTTAATAATAATCATGTCTTCTTTATTCCCTTTAATATACAGCTGGAAACCATGTTGTTATTGTTTTACTCGTTGATTCTCTTTTAGTTGATCCATATTCATTGGTACACATAATCAAAGAGTCTAATCGAAACCCCTCAAAATATAGGTCACCAACATTCTTAAAATCATGATAACCCTTCAAACTGTAATAATAAAAAGTTGCGAAATATGTATTATTGACATAGATCTAGGAGAAAATTAAATTAAAAATAAAATTGAAAGGAAAAATTAGTACAAAAATGGAATTTTTTGACTCTGCAAAAAATTCCAAAATAAAAGGCTCTCCAACTTTGAATGGATTATCATAGTACTGATGGTCAGCATCCCATCCACCGTCTACTGACCAACTGCTAAGATGAACCTCAAAATTTATTTTAAATTTTAAAAATATAAAAAGAAATGTTGAAATAATACCACATTGGATATTAAGTCTGTATTAAAGTGGAGTGGAACGTTTGCAGTTTCGAACATTAAGCCATCCTCCTCGCCAAAATCTATTGTTATTTGTTTTGCCCCTTGGAGAGGAACTCCTTTAAATATTATACGTTTATTTGCTTCAAATCCTTTTCCAAATCCGATTTGTACAAGATTTATAGTTTTGATTTTTGATGGTAATGGCTTAAATTTTAAAATTATTATTATGAATATTTTAAAAATATTTTGAAATTCTCGACATTTACACATCTTTCTTGAATATTTATGTTTTTGTTGATTTAAATTTGTAAAAGAATATCCTTATGAATGTAAACATTATTTATAGGGTACTTATTTCTCTCCCCCACCAAATTCTTCATTAATGTACAAAATGATAAGTCATTTCTTCCTTGCATAATTTCGCAAAAATTATTTCTGTGGCATCATGAAAAGTAAAAGTGTAAGCTTGTAAAACAGTAGATAATTCTCACATAGAAAACATGACTTGATGAAGGAAAATTGACTGATTGAATGATGCTCTGTGAAATTATGCAGGGAATAAATGACTATTTTGTACATTAATGAAAAAATTGGGTGGGAGAGGGAAGCGAAATGAGTACTTGATTAAGTATTAAGTAAAAATCCTCTAACCACATTGTTTAAGACAATAGGATTGGGGCAAATTGGAGGGGGCGTTGCTGGTGCATCTGTTTTAATTGTTGGCTTCAAATCATTGGGATACAAAGTCAAAGAGAGAATTTGAACTGTGTCCTTCCCATTGATATATAGCTGAGTAATTTGACTCAAATCCGGACTATGGAAGTTTGTAAAAATTTTACCATTGACACTGATCTTTAAAAATAAATTCAGAATAAAATAAATAATTTCATACCTGTATTATATTGTTAGGCAATGCAACAAATTCCATAAGGAATGCTTCTCCAGCTTTAAATGGAAATTCACCAGAAATATTTTCATGACACCATCCTTTGTTTATTATCCATGCGTTACGAACAACCTCAAATAATTTTTTAATTTTATTAATTCACCCTCGAACATAAAAGTTTTATAAGGGGAAGACGGAAACTCGATTAAGATTACGAGAAGGTAAAGTCAGCGCTCTGGGGTTGAATAGGTTGATTGAGCATATTAGGAGATGATTGAGATGTGATTTGAGTATTTATTTCCTCCCCCTCACTCAACCCCCTCCCCTCAATAGGTTGATTAAGCCCTATTAAAGGTTGCTTGTGTGGTTAATCTGATTAATTATTTCCTCCCTCTCAATCAACCCCCTCCTCTCAATAGGGTGATTGACCTCCCGAAGTTTTTGCCTTCAGTCTTCACACTTTAAATTATGCTGCCCTTTCTAAATTCCACCTCTCTCTTGACTATTATTTAAATAAGGCCATGAAATTATTACCAGCTTGGATTGGAAGCACGGATTGAAGTGGAGTTGAACGCTAGCAGTTTTCAGCATCACACCATCCTCAAACAAATTAATCGTAAATTGGTCCGGCTTTCCAAAAATCGTCCCATTAAATGCAATAATATCCTTCACATAAAATCCTTTTCCAAATCCGGCTTTAACAAGATCTATAGTTGCAGGGAGTGCCAAATAATTAAAAACAATTGGATCGTTCTTTGCCAGAACGGCACATATTTTTAACAAAATAAGAATTATAACCTGAAATTATTTTTCCTTGATATTAAATTAAAAATCAAGTATATACCTTCATTAATGAAGCTGACATTATATTTAAAATTTATTATTTTGATAGGTGTACTGGTTGAAGTAGACACTTTATATGTATGTTTGCTTTTCTTGATAAAAAAATTGTTGATATATTTTTATTCGGTTATTTTTAATACAAAAACAACGTTTATAATTTTAACAAAAATAAAGATATGTCATTTTCCAACCATGTAAACGTTGCTATCGAAACTTTTTTTTATTTTAAGCATAAAGTTAAATGTATAATCAAGAAAAATTTTTGTTTAAATGAACAAATAAGAATTTTTTGTTTTTTCTATACCAACAATGTGTGCAAAGAACATTTTTTTCCTAAACATATTTCGTTGTCAATCTTCTAACCCTCATACATTTTTATTACTTTAAATTTTCAAAAAAATTTTAATTATTGAAAAATATTTACGAAAAACAAGGCAAAGTATTTCATAAACCCCATAATTTTATATTTGTATGTATTACACTTAAAAATAATAATTTAACACCAACCCCGCATCGAGGCACTGAGGTGCTTGCTATATTTGTGGTTTTATACTTTATTAAGTCTTGCAATGAGAGCAACTTGCCCTTTACAAATTTCTTGTTGGTTCTACACTATTAAATAATATAAGAATTTTATAATACTTTTCATTCCAACAATATTTTCATATGTTTTTAATCATGTGTATGTCAATCACAGATAAAACTTTTTTATTCTCTCTTTAATCTTCAATTGCGTAGGTTGGTTCTGTTGTCGTAGTTGTTAAATTTTTATTTGGGCACAAAATCAAAGAGTCTAATCGAAACCCAGAAATATATAGATGACTAACATTCTTCAAATCGTGATAACCCTTCAGACCGAAATAAGAGTAAGTTGCGAGAAATTTATTATTGACATAGATCTGTAAGGATTTAAATTAAAAATAAGACTACTGTAGGAAGGAAAATTACAGATATCGAATCTCTTTGTAAATATTGCCCAAATCTGAATTCCAAAATAAAAGGTTCTCCAACTCTAAATGGATTACCATAAATATGGTCAACATCCCATCCACTTTTTACTGTCCAACTGTTCGTAACAACCTCAAATTATTTTATAAGTAGTTTAATTTAGTCAATGGAGGAATAATACCACGCCAGCTTGCAAACGTGGATTAAAGCAGAATGGCGCGTTTGCAGTTTTGAACATTTCGCCATCCTCAACAAAGTTAATTGTAAATAGATTGACCCCTTGAAGAGGCATTCCTTTAAATATTATGTGTGTATTTGGTTTAAATCCTTTTCCAAATCCGATTTTTACAAGATCTATAGTTGATGGTACTGGCTTAATTTTAAATTATTATTGTAAATAAATATTTTTTTAAAAAGTTTCCTCAATTTTGGTATGATATTAACCAATTCTATGTTGAATATTCATGCTTCAAATTAATTTAAAATTGTGAGTATGTATCCTGACGACTCTCGTCTTTATTTTATTTAAGACAGTAATGAGATCCTATAACCAAAATGTTAGCAGTTCCGTGTATCCGGATTCCTCCCCAAAAATTATTTCAGAGTCCTCTCCGTCATCATAAAATCCTCACAAATTTCATAAAAATTTCGCTTCCGGGGAAGGATACCAGGAGATTTCCCAGGCTCGCTAAATATACTAACCACGTTCTTTAAGAAGATAGGTTTGTGACAATGTGGAGGCGTTGTTGGTGCCTCTGTTGTTGCGATTGTTGGCTTCAAAGCATTGGGATACAAAATCAAAGAGTTAATTTGCAATGTGGATTGCTCATCAGTAATATATATTTGACTAATTTTGCTCAAATCAAGTCTACGGAAGTATGTAAAAAATCTATTATTGACACTGATCTATAATTGAAAGTTGCTTTCCTTACTATAAATTAAATAAGTAATCACTTACGGATATTACATCTCTGGGCAATACGAGAAATTCTAGAATGAATGTTTCTCCAGCTTTAAATGGAAAACCACCAAAAACATCTTCAATACCCCATCCTCTATCCTTTATCCAATTGTTACGATAAACCTTAAATTATTTTTAATATACCGTATAAGCTAAAATAATTGCCCATCGTAATTATTTTTTAAATCTCTCGTTGGAGGGGGGGGGGGGGGGGGAGGGGGTAGGGGAGGGTAATTATTTGAGAGAGAAGGACAATTATCTCAACATATAGCAAGTAATATATCCAGTAGATATATAATTATATTACCAGGTAGGATTGAAAACATCCAGTAAAGTCAAGTTGAACATTCACGTCATTCACTCCATCTTCACCCAAAACAATAGTAAAATAATCTGGCTTTTTAGAAATCGTTCCATTAAATACAATCCGATCTTGCATATAAAATCCTTTTCCAAATCCGACACTTACAAGGTCGATACTTGAAGGGATAGCCAAATTATTAAACATAATTGGATCATCAGTTGTAACTGCCATAAAGACCCCACATATTTTTAATAAAACAAGTGTTATCAACTAAAATTTGAATTTTTCCTTGATATTAAATTAAGATTGTGTGTGTTTACCTTCATTATTGAAGCTGACATTTAATTTTAATTTTATTATTTTGTTAATGTAACTTGGTGAAATTGTCACATTTATGTTTGATTTTATTGATAAAAATTGTTTACATTTTCAGGCAGTTTTTTAATTCAAAAAAAACTTTTTTAGCAACGTTTCCAACACACAATTCAAACAAATATGAAAATAAATATCAATAGGAAGGGGTTGTCATGTCACTTTTCATTCAATTAAATTTATCAAGACATTTTTTTATTTCAACTGATAATTGTTATTTTGAGAGGATTGCATTCAAAACTGATATCAACCTCTAGTTTCTTTAATAAAAATTTCGAGAGTGAGAGTCTAGGAACAGTGACTATCTACATAATAATTATATAAAAATGTAATTAGATTCTTATTTATTAAAACTATGGTAGGAAACTGACCCCCCAAAAACCCCGATGATTTTTTAGGCAAGCCCTGATCTGAACCTCAGCCGTAAATTGAAAAAAAATTAAAAAATTGAACTCGAACCTCACGATTCTTTTAGCAAAAACCCCATCCCGAACAAAGAAATACCCCGACAAACCCCAATACTCGACACTCCTCGCTATCCTAATTTAAACATTTAATTTGTCGAGAAGAATAGACTACAAAAGAGATATTGAATCATAAATCTTCCAATAATTAAATTTGCTAATAATTTTTAATTTTTTATTTTTTAAATATAGTGTAGAAAAACTAAAGTTAATTATTTCATCGTTTACGGAAAATTAAAAATTAATCAGAACAAATTTTCAATAAAATTCTTTAATAATTAAATGTTTCGAAATATCATATTTAAACGGCCTAGTCTCCAAATCATTTCCAAAGTTTGCTTCAACTGAAAAATATTTCACAAGGCCAAACGGAATATATGACGCAGAATTATCCGTTAATAGTAGACCTTTACCTTTAAAAGAGGTTTTTGTTAAAATAATTTTTATTAAATATGGTACTATGCGTTTATATCACATTTTTTTCTTTATGCTTGATCCAATACAAATGAATCTTATATGTATGATCGGTCTGATCGCTCATTAAAAAGTTACAACTTAATAGGCAATTAAACATGATTCGTCCGGTTAGATAAAGAAAAACTTATAAAAGACTTTCGAATGATATAAGAATCAGTTTTGTTCAAGCATAGAGTTATGGCCAAACAAATTCGGAAATTAAGTAGAATGCGAGGATATAAACTAGGGTCGGCACAAACGGTTAGCCGAACTGAAACCGAAACCGGTGTTTGTTGCAAATAAACCGAAACCAAAAACCGAGGAGTCAAAACCAGCGATAACCGAAAACCGGGGCACAGCTCCTAATATACTAAACGAAGGTAATAGTTCGGATGAGACTCCCCTCCTTTTTCCTTCCTCAAAATATTTAAAAATGGTCAGTTAGTTAATCAAATTTTGTGTTTATAGAACTCAACGAGCTGTGTGAATGACACCTAAATCAACCCTGGTTCTTAAATTTAGGCCGAGATACAGATAAAACACTGCGCAAAGCGAGGGTGTGTAGCCCAAAAATTGAGCTTGGTCCACCCTTTTATTTTTCAATTTTTGGGGTCTGTATCTCGAGTGCCGGAAAATTGGGCTCTGGAAAATTGGGCTCCAAGATTTTTCGGAAAATTGGGCTCCAACTTTTCGGAAAATTGGGCTCTAGCGGAAATTTGGGCTCTATGAGAAAAGAACGGAAAATTGGGCTCCAATTTTTTAGGCGCGGGGAATTTTGGGCGTCGGAGTTAATTTTTGGATTTTTCCGAAAAATGACACAAAATCTAACAACGTAAACCTATGGGTGTCGGCGAGGCGCTTGTGCAAAATCCCGCGCTTCGGGATTTTGCGGCACGCGCCTCGCGGGAGTCAACGGTCGCTGGGTTCTACAACAGTAACATAAACCTATTCCTTTTACTGATTTTCAGATTTGAAATGCCGACCTACCCACTAATTATCAGCACAAAAATAGTTATTTCAGAGAATTTTTGATATTTTTCGAATAAATCAAAAATTAACTCCGACGCCCACAATTCCCCGCGCCTAAAAAATTGGAGCCCAATTTTCCGTTTTTTTCTCATAGAGCCCAAATTTCCGCTGGAGCCCGATTTTCCGAAAAGTTGGAGCCCAATTTTCCGAAAAATCTTGGAGCCCAATTTTCCAGAGCCCAATTTTCCGGACACCCTGTATCTCGGCCCAAAGTAAAGACCTGGGGTTGATTTCGGTGTCATTCGACACAGCTCGACGAGTTCTATAACCTAAGATTGACTGACCATTTTTTAATACTTTTAAAAAGGAAAAAAAGGGGGGGGAATCATCCGAACTATTACCTAAACGAATAATATGTATCTTAAATATTTACCAAATTGATTTCCATTTCGAGTAAAGAAAACATATGGAGATCCTAAAAACATTTTATTAGCTGGTGGATAAACTACTCCACATCCAAGAATATCATCATTATTGAAGAAATTATTGCCAAGTTTAAATCCTTCATCAAGCTCGTTATAAATTGTAGCATACTTTGCTCGAAACCTAATATTCTTCCTTGTACTACAATTTTTAAGACCAATACTCATCCCTTTATCATCGCTATTGAACTCTACTACAGATTTGTATTTAATTTCAAAATAATATAAAGAATAATTGGAACAATTTTGTGGCCTTTTGAATGAATTTTCTGTATAAACTGCAATGTGTGTACCACCTCAAATATTTATAAAAATAAAATTTAGGGTACGTTTCCGCTATATTACACCCCCCTAAATTAATACTCAAAATATTATATATAGGGTAATAAAAGTTTTTGATTACCTCTATAATCTTTATTCTCAAGCCCAGAAGGAGAATAAACATTATAGACCTATGGCTGGTCCGAAAATCCCCTCGAAATTAATACCATTCGATTCGTCTCGCGAGCTGAGACGATTGTTACCAGTCTCCTACATATATCGGAGAGATAAACCCAGTGGTGCGTGACCTCTCGAGAGTCTAGATTCGTTGGGTTCTATAATCCTATTCCATTTTCCGGCCTTGAAATAACGTCCTACCCTTAGTAGGTCCATTTTCCATTCATTTAGGGGTGTGACATAACAGAAAAAGAATCAAATCCAATAATTTACCTTCATTCTTAAACATATACTTAATATTTCCATCATTAATTAAATTTCCAAATTCATATACTTTAATACATCTACCAATTTTTTTGTTTTTATTTACACAACTACTACCAATTTCATTCCATTTATTTTTAATTTTAACAAAATTCTTTAAAGGAATTTTTAATAATTCTATAGTACATTATAAACTTACCACATATTTATTTAAATTTCTCACAGCTTTAGTCATATTACTTGAACTTTGAGTGAATTCATCAACAAAATCATCAGAACCGTCACTTATTTTTTCGACAAAAAATTGTTTAATATCATTCAAAGTAGCAGGAATTCGACAACAAGGGCAATTTTCTGACTAAAAATGTTAAGAATAAAAGTTGGAAATATATAGGTATTTTGGTTTGATTCCAAAAGAATTAAAAGAGAGACGCATACCTATTTCCTGACAATTATCTGCTTTTGACATTTCTAAAGGTCTAAATTCGGATTTCCAAGATTCCGATTTACGTTTTTTTCCTTCAGATTTCCGAAATTTTGGAAAAATTTCCGATTTCCGACAGTTCCGATTTCCGGCACCTTCGTAATTCCTGATCGACCTCTGTAAAGGAGAAAATAGAAAATGGAAGGTGTAATAATTACTTTAATCAGTGTATTAGAATTTAAAAAATAAATTTCCTCACCCCTTCAGTAATCCAACGAGTAATACAATATTGATGGTAGGCATGATTACAATTTTTCAAAATATAAACATTTTCATGATCCAATTGAGATTGGCAAACAATACAACAACCAAATTTATAAGAAACCTTTTTTAGATTCTAGAAGAAAATTGATTAAAAATTTTCAAAAATATTTCTAATTGTTTGGGTACTAGAGACAACCGAGACCGAAAATTTTCCAAGACTCAAGACCAAGACTTAGCCCCAAGATTAATTAATCTTTATGAGAGGAAGAATTGAAGGGAAAGTAAACAACGGACATGTAGGGGTATAATGCGATAGGTTCCTAGTTTGAGATATGTAAGAAAGAGTGATCCAGCATTTAAAACGTTTATGGGGGGAGGGTTCAAGATCTATTAAAGGCAGGCTGTATCAGTGCTCCACACAAATAAAAAAGCAGCTGCAATATGCTTAAAACCGCAGTGGCAATCTGCAGTCCGCAAATCAAAACAATTGCGTGCAGTCCTGGCCCTGATAGCTCAGTTGATTATGCACCCGTACGAGTTAAACTTAGGAAGCTTAGAAATAAGGAGCTCACTTTTACCTCTCTTCTGATATGTTTATGTTTAAATGAGAATACCTAATTTTTTAATTTAATTATAAACTAACCATATATTTACAATACATATTGTTCAATTTAACTGCTAGATCATTATTCTTTTTGTTTGCCTTTTTATTTAAATTAAAGGTTTTTCGTTAATATCCTTCCATATCCTCCCCCTCAAATAGGTGTGAGGATATGTACTACCAGAGGTGGCTAGGAATTCCGATTTCCGACACCTCTGAATGTTCCGACACCTCTGACTGTTCTGACCCACTCCTTATTACTACCCCCACCATCCTAGAAGAGGGGAGAAAGGTAGGATATGAACAAAGTACCAAATTAAATTTAATTAATTTTTTAGGTTTTAAATTTAGAATTTAACAAAATCTACATATGTATTTTAAAATATTTTTATTTTTACCCTTTTCATTTCTTCTTTCAAATAATTAATTTCAACGTCTTTAAGTTTCAAACAAACATCCTTTTCAGCTTGTAATTTCTCAAATTTTTCTTCAATAAATTTTTGAAAATTTATTTTCATTTTTTCAATTTTATTTTCATATTTAGAATTTATTTTTTGAATATTCTAAAATTATTTTAAAAAATATTTAACAAAAAATTAGAGTTGAGCGGGATCGGGATCCCAATCTAAAATCGGGATTTTGAAATGACGACCTCGATTCCGGCTCAGGATCAGGATTGAACGAAATCTGGATCGAGATTTGGCCTAACTACAGTAAACCAACGTTTTTTAGATTTGGACAATTTATGTCATTTGAAAGAGCTTGGCGAGCTGAATCGAACGGCACATGAGATATAGGTCCCCAAAAATCGAAAATCATAGAGGGGACCAAGCACTTTTTTGGGGGTAAAAAATTCGAATATACAATAGCTCATTCGAAGGGCTCGACGAGCTGAGTTGAATGACACCAAAATCAGCTCGATTGGACGATTATGAACAAAGTCATGACCAACGGAATATTCGCCGGAAAAACTGTTTTTGTGCTGCTATGGAGGGTAGGCTGCTACGGAAGTTATCTTTCGGTCTCGGGATCAGAAAAATCGGGATAATCCCATCCTATCCCTACCGGGATCCTGGACCCTCTCAACATTACAAAACCCCCCAAACTTTATCCATTACCTTCAATTCATTTTCAAGAAAAATATTCTTTGTTTTCTCATGAACTAATAATTGGTAAAGACCGTTAAAATCTGTTTGAAGATTAACTAAATCATTGTTTAGTTTTTCAACATTTGATAATCCTTCTTCTTCCATTTTATAAAAAATTTTTAAATGTTTATTAAAGGCTAAATAAATTAAAATAGTTTAATTAAATCTTCAAAAATAACTGAATTAATTTATTTGATAAAATATTGTGGAAAATTTAAATTATTTTAAAATCGGGAGAAGGCCAATGTACCGCCGAGCGATAACTTTGTCCAAAATTGTCAAATCCGTGGCGCCCTGGTAAAGTTCGATTCAGCTGGTCGAGACGCATCGAACCATACCAGGGCACCATGGATTCGACAATTTTAAACAATGTTATAGCGGTATATCGAGCTAGCGGTACATCGGGGTGTACCATTTAAAATCATATGTAAAAGGTAATCGAAATTAAATATGGTCATCATTGATATTTGAAAGGTTGCTTGTAATGGTTTCCTTACTTCCATGGAATAGCCATTTTCCCTTAGTTTTTAAAGGTTTTTCTAATTTTTTCGCAAGCAAAATGTGCATTAAGATTAGACAAAGTTCAAAGACAAAGTTATGAACATTGAGTGTTTTTCAAGTAAGGCAATAGGTTTATGTTCACCCTCAAATACTATTTTATGTTTCCGAAAAGTTGAATGATTTTCTTGAATTTTTAAAAACACCATAATATAATTATAAATATTAAATGAATAATTGCTTTATTCCACAAAATTTAAAGATAAAATAAAAAAATATTTTTAATATCACAAAATATTCAATATTTAATCACAAATCTCTCTTTATTTGCACAGAGTAATAGAGCTCACTTTGATATCCTGTCTAATCTCAATTTGACTAATTTTATTCAAGCTGTATCGTACAAAGTAGGTAAAATATTACCCGATGCCAATTTACCCGATTTAACTCGTTTCCAATATGGCGACCTTATTCATCGGATTTGAATCCGATTGGTTACTGCTTTTAGTATTTTTGAGGTAAAGGTCTGTTCTTTATAATCCAAAAGTTTGAAGTCGCTCAGATTCTTATTCGTTCGGGAATGTGAGAAGGTCACACATGTGGACACTTTAAAAAATTTTAATTACATTTATTAAATCTTTCGCTCCAGCTCTAAATTCCAATATGAATGGTTGGCCAACTTTGAATGGGAACCCTCCTGAAGTCTCTGTAGGTCCCCATCTTCCAAATCTTCCTTCTTTCATCACTTGATACTTTGCTTATTCTTATTTGTCTATAAGGAAGTAGTTCCATTCATCATTTATACGCTGGATGTTTATAAATGACGTTGGATTTTTTCCAGTAAAATTGGTTACATTTCTAATGCTCATTCAATGCTCATTATTCTCATTCATTTTCTAATGCTCACTCATCAAATTTATTCGAAATATTACTAAAGTTTTTGTATTTTTTTTTGTAAATTTACAACACTTACTGTTAGATGTACATACACACATAAACGGGAAAATTTTTAATATTTTTAATTTACAATGATTTTTCTTTTTTTATGTATGAGGAAGTAATTTCCGTTATATTTATTAGCAAGGAAATATTTTTTTGATTCCTCGAAATTTGAAAATTAAAAAAAAATCTTTTTTAAAAAATATTTTTTGAGCAAACATTTTATAAAAATTTACGTAGAATATTAACAATATTTGTTTTTTTACATGACGTCATATTAGATTTTATCATTTTTAATAAATATTCTTCTCAAGTCTCCTTATTTACAAAGTATAACAGATCCCACTCGGATTCCACCTTCAATCACCATTTGACTTACATACTTCAAATCATATCGTGTAAAGTTGACAAAGAATTTGTTGTTTACAATGACCTAAAAATTAAAAATTCAACAAAGTATTGCAAAAATTACATCAATTGAATCCTCTGCAGCAATAAATTCCAGAACAAAAGGATCTCCAACCTTAAAGGGAAAACCTCCAGGACGCTCTTCTCTTTCCCAGCCTCTGCCTGTAATCCAGGAGTTGAGTATAACCTGGAATTTTTTGTGTAATAAGGCTCCTCGAGGAGCGTATATTTTCTACTTGTTGTTCATCAAAACGTGGACTAATGTGGAACAGAACATCAGCATTTACTAACAATTTACCAAGTGCACCAATGTTAATGCTAAAATTTTCAGGTTTTGCCAAAGGTGTTCCAAAAATTATAATGCGTTTAGTTGGTGCAAAGCCTCTTCCAAATCCGAGCTTCCTAAAGTCGACTATTGCCGGTATTTTCTTAAAGTTTTGAAAGATTTTTAAGTGACTTTATGCTAACCAAGTTGTTTAAAACAATTTTTCCTCGACAGACTGGAGGAGGCTTTGTGGGTGTTGTGGTTGGTTGAATTGTTGTTGATGGTTCCTCTGTTGTAGTGGGTATAGGTTTATCAAGACATAAAGTCACAGAGAAAAGCCTAATTGCCAGCGTAATCTCCAATACGCTCAATTTACTCAAATCATCCCGTGAAAATGTTACGAATGGTTCGTAATCAACATTAACCTAAATAATACATAGGAGAATAGCTCTATGGTAATTACAATTATAGTATTATTAGGTGCAGCAATAAATTCCAGAATAAACGGTTCTCCAATTTTAAAAGGAAATCCTTCCGAACGTTCCTCTCTTCCCCATCCAGTGATTGGTGACCACGTGTTGCGAACTACCTTACATAAATCGTATTTGAATTAAGCTTTCTTGAGTTATTCTCTATTCACCTGCTTTTCACTAAAACGTGGATTGAAGTGAAACAGAGTCTTTGCAGTTTTCCCTGGCATCCCATCATCATTTAAATTAATGATAAAACGGTCAGTCGTATTAGTAGGCGCACCAATAATTATAATACGCTTAGGTGGTTCAAAACCTTTTCCAAATCCTTGCTTCAAAAGATCGATTGTTGCTGGTACGTTCTGTTAAATATTTTAAGATAATTATAAGATTTTTTGATGTACTGTACCACAATTTCCCTTTGATTTTTGAGATTTGAGATCTCGTTGATTAAACGAGGTAAAGACTTGGTTATTTTAAATTTTTTATCAATGGATATATTCATAAATATTTTAATAAAATTTATGGTTTTATATTTTTCATTTTTATTATTTGCCCCCTTTTTAAGAGCCCTTGTTAAAAACTAATTAAGAGAGGACAAGATTAATTAAAAAATAGTCTCACTGGAAATATTTTAATAAACTTTATGGTTTTATATTTTTCATTTTTATTATTTGCCCACTTTTTAAGAGCCCTTGTTAAAAACTAATTAAGAGAGGACAAGATTGAGTAAAAAATAGTCTCACTGGATATGCTATAACATTAGGATAGAGACAGGTTGGAGTAGGTGTCGTAGCCGGTTCTTCTGTTATGGGAGTTGGTTCCTCAGTTGTATGTTTGCGGTTGCATGTTTTCGTTTCGATTGTAGTTACCATAAAAACCGCACATATTATTAATATAAAAAGTGTTATTAACTTCATTATTGAAGTTAAAATTTTAAAATTTTATTATGATGAAGAATTGCTTAAATTTATATGCTGGATTTTATCAGTAAAATTGTTTATATTTCTAATATTCCTTCATCGCTTTCATCAAAAATATTCGAAAAGAAAATAATGTTTTGTAACTTTTTTTTGTAAATTTACAACACTAAAATTTTCATTTTCTTATAAATTGATGTACAACGAGAATAGTTTGTTTGGTTTAAGACACATATGTGTTTTTTATTTCCAATTTATGATATTTCTCTTATTTGTTTATTATGTTTATTTATATTTACACAGAAAATTTTTTTTTAATTTTAACTTTTTCCTAAACACAATTTATTGTAAATTACTATCTATATTTTGATTTCCTTTTGATTCGAAATTGTATTGCCAGCGTTTGAAAGAAGAATATGTATTAATTAATAAAAATAAACCATCATTGGTTTAAATGGTGGCATTCTGTTGTGCTTCGGTCTTGGCACAACTTTATGCTTCGGTCTCAGCGTCGCACTTCCCTCAGCCAGGATAATAATCCATGGTGAACAAATTCACTACGGGATCTCGGGAATGTGATCTAACAGGGGGATCTAACACGGGATCCTATCGTAACAAAGTGCCAGAATCAATGGTACTTTTCGGTTAGTATAAATTAAAATTATTAAATAATCACTCGATATATTTTCAACTATAAAATAATATCAATAAATTATAAATTGAGATACCAATCATTTGATAAAAATGTGTTTAATTAGACTGAAAGAATTTAATATTAATAAATAGATGTAAGTTATATAGAACGAATAAAATGATTGACAGTTTATTTAAAGTTAAAATAATTCTGCTGATAGTAATGCTAAATAGAATTTAATTAGAAAAAAACATTTTTAAATTAAATGTTGTTGATTGATAGAATTTGTAAAATGGCTAAATTCTTTTACCATCAACGCTGGTATTTTTTATATTATTTTAGTAATATTTAAACTGTTTAATAAAACCAATAATATTGCTTCCAAATAAATTCTTAAAATAAAACAAAATCCATTTTCTTAACAACAATATCATTTTTATTAAAGGAATATCTATTATTATTCTAGTTGTTTCTCCTTCTGTAAACAATCGATATATAGATTTAAATATTATATTTATAAATATTTATTTTAGTTTTTAAAGTTTTTATGGAGACGATGAAGCTTCACGATGAAGTCCAAACGAGAAGAGCCCGATCATGGTTGTAAAGAATGCCTGGAGAAAGTAAACTTTATTATTATGCTTTACTTTATTTTACTAAATTACTTTAAAAACATTTTAAAAGTAGGATGAATATTTTAATATAAATTTTTTATTTAAATAGTTGATGTCGACTGCAATATCTGACTTTCAGAGCGGTGCTGCGCACTTATTTAAACTGTTTAATAAAACCAATAATATTGCTTATGTGCGATTAATGCGATTAATACTTATGTGCGATTAATACAACAAGTGTGGAAAATTGTGCAGAAGCAACAAACAACATTGCTGACATTCTGCGTCAAGTTTTTAGTATATTCCCCGATTGAAAAAGGAGTCCCCAGATTTAGCTTGCCAGCTAATTTTTAAATCCTGTCCCCAAAAGTTATATGCAAATATAACTTTTAGTCAAATTAATACAAATTAAGAAACAAAGGCAGATCGTGCAGAAGCTAAGCTGTAATAACTGTGTGAACCTAATAAATTACATCTTAAACGTAGGTTCATTATCAAAATACAATGAATAAAATTTTATAAGAACGTTGAAAAAGCCTTCACAATAGTCAACTCTCATATAAAACTGCTCATTTGGTCTACAGTTAGAGAAGATTCACTCAAACAAATGTTATAAAAAAATTTGAAAATGTTTTGCTGTTTACCGAAGAATTTAAGTCGTTGGTAGAAAAAGAGGTATGGAATTATAAATAAATTTTCAATGGATTAACTTTTAACTATTTATTTCAAAAAAATAATTGCATAATTTTAAGGAAAGCAGTGAACAGTTGTGTTCAGTTTTTGGTTGCCTATAAATATTTTGCACGTACATAGTACCGTTCTCAATTATTGACACTATGCTTTGAAAATGCCTGAAGAAAATAAAAAATAGATTTAAAACATCTTTGCTCAACTATTTACATTTTAAATTTTTTAAAAATTAAAAAAAAGCTAGAAAAACTTTACTTACATTTTTTAATTTAAAATAGTATATTGATAAAATTATAGTTTTTGAATTTTAATTTTCTCCTTTATTTTTGGGTCAGAACAATTATGAATATAAAAACCAAAATATGGGGAAACACTTGTTGATTTTGAATTTGATTTACGAAAAGAGCCATTAATCTCATTAGACACCAAAATAAGTTCGACAAGTACTTTATCAATAGTTTCATTATTTAACGGTTTATTTTCAATATCCATCTCTTTATATTTCAATTTGAATAATTTTCTAACTTGATGAAAATATTTATCTAAAAATAGTTCAGCAATAGTAATATCCTCAGGCCAAAATAATGCATTGTCAAATTCATCCGAAGAATATATTTCAATCTGTTCTTCTAAGTAGATTAAGGTGTTGTTGTTTATTTCTGTTTTATTCTCATCATTAAACTCCTCTTTCACAATTCCCATTAAATCTATTTTTTGTTCTTTTAAGTTGAGACAATGACGGATTTCGTTTAATCCAATTTGCTTAATACCGACACCAAGAAGCGAAGGTAGAAACCATGAAACAAGACCAGCCTTTGATTTATGCGAATACAATTCCTCATACTGTATATCAGCTATACAAACATTTGAAATTTCATTCAATAATTTTTGATAAATTTGTGTATAATTTGGTATAATTTGTGTTTCTGAAATATTATTTGCTTGGGGTGTTGAAAAAACGTTTGTTGAGGAGTTTGTTGTATTTTCTGAATTAAAAAATCATTTTTGTAAGATTTAAAGTTATATCCTCATCATAAAAATTCATAAAGTCACGATAATACAATTTTTATTTTTATTTTACATTAATAGAAAATAATTTAAATTGATAAAAATTCTCTAAATAAAAAATACCGTTAAAGCGCAAGCTAACTTTTTTATTCAAATTTATAATGGTGAGAATAAAAAGTAATATTTTAATAAACATATTATTATTTAAAAATCCCAGATAAAATATTTTGAAGCAAAATTACATGGAATGATAAAATTAAATAGATACAAGTTTAGATAGAAAATAAGCGCATATGTATTATATTAATTTAGGTCATTTATTACCGCCAGTGAAGAGGATGCTATTGACCATTTCTATTTTCTCATTTCTATAATTAATTATTATGAAAATTATGATTTAATTTTGCTAATCAAAAGAATTCTTATTTTCCCAACTTTTATGAAGTTATAAAATATACACGACTGAAAAATATAAAAATGATAATAATTTAAAATTTATTGTTGTATGAGGGAGTAGTTTCCTTTATATTCGCAAGGAAATAATTTTTGATTCTCCACAATTTTTCCTAAAGAACCCCGGTTTTCCGTTGATTTTCGGGTTTTAAGATCTCGGTGATGGGAGTACATCAGAACTTCATTTCTTTTGTATTTCTTATCTATATTAATAATATGTTCACAAAAATTTTTGTGGATTTTTCCCACTATTAGAAACCTATAAAACAACGGTGGACATATACTTTTGGAATAGAGTGTATCTTTACAGCAAATTGACAAAAGAAGTGTTATAAACTTCATTATGGAAGCTAGTAATAATATATTAAAATTTTGTTATGAAGTAATAATTGCTTGAATTACATATATGCTGGAATTTATGCATAAAATTGTTAAATTTTTTCGAAAGAAAAAAATTTTTCGAAACTCATAGTTAACAAAAAATTACGAAAAGGAACATAATATTTTAGAATTTTTTGTAAATTTACAACACTAAAATTTTCAGTTATAAATTGATTTATAGCGAGAAAAATTTGTTTGTTTTAATAACACTTATATGTATTTTTTATTTTCAATTTCTGTTTCTCTTAGTTGTTTAAACAATCATATCATCAACGGTTATGGTCGTTATTTCAAGGGTGTGGTTGTTGTTTCATCAGGTATATCTGTTATTACAGTTCCAGGGCATAGGTAAATAGCGTTGATCTGGATTGCCCGTTCAATTTCCATATGAGTAACTTTATTTAAATCATATCGTGCAAACTTGGTAAAAAATCTGTTGTTTACATAAACCTAAATAGAAAATTAATATTCAACAAATTAAATTAATATTACCTCAATTGTATTTATTGGTGAAGTACTTATAACAAATTCAACATCAAATTGCTCTCCGACTTTAAAAGGGAAGCCTCCAGAGCGCTCTTCTTGTTCCCAGCCTTTGTCTACAGTCCATGTGTTGCGTATAACCTAGAATATTTTTTGTGAAATAAGGCAAAGGTTTTCTGAAGCTTGCCTAGCTTCAAATTCCTCTTTAACAGCTTTATATTTTACCTGCTTGATATCAAAACGTGGACTGAAGTGAAATAGCACATTACCATCTACTAACATTTTACCAGATGTTCCAAAATTTATGTTGAAACTTTCAGGTTGTGCTAGAGGTGTTCCACGAATTATAATGCGAACGCGTATTGGTGTTGTAGAAGGTCCTCCAAAGAGCTTTTCAATATGTAGTACTGTTGGGGTGTTCTTAAATTTTTTAAAGCTATTCCAATTGAAAAAACTCCAACCATATTATCTAACACAACTAGTCCGAGGCATAATGGAGGAGGCCTTGTACGAGCTACAGTTGTAGTAGTTGGTCTCTCTGTTGTGGTGGTCGGTTCTTTCGTTGTTGTTGTATTTATTAATGGGTTGCGACAATTAGTCAAGGAGTTAATTTGAATTGTGTCCAACCCACTAATATATAATTGACTAATTTTACTCAAATCCGCACGAGAGAAAGTTGCAAAACGTTTACTATTGATGTTTATCTACAAAAAATTTTTACGAATTAAGGGAAAAGTTCAATAAATAATTACAATTATTGTATTTTTTGGCGCTGCAACAAATTCCAAAATGAAGGGTTCTCCAGCTTCAAAAGGAAAACCACCAGAAGTATCCTCAGGGCCCCATCCTCGGTTTCTTATCCAATTGTTACGAACAACCTCAAATAAATATTTTGACATAAAAACCAATTTCAATTATTAAATTACCAGAGGTGGATAGGATTGGAAGCGTGGATTGAAATGGAATGGAACGTCAGCAGTTTGGTACATCACACCATCTTCGAAGAAATTAACCACAAATTCATTTGGATTTTTAAGAACTACACCATCAATTATAATACTCCTTTCTGGTAAAAATCCTCCTACATTTACAAAATCAATTGTTACTCGACCAGTCTTAAAATTTACAAAATAATTTTAGGAAATATTTTAAGAATAAATATATTAATCCAATATAGGTAGTCTTAGCGGATAGGCATAGACTTCCGACGTGCTATAAGTCAACAGATGCACTGCTTGGAAGCTCGTACCAAAATTCATACTCACATCTTTGTACGAAGGAGCGGGTGAAAAAAGACCGGAATTCGGGTAACCCGCCCATCCTTAAAAGAAATATTACTCCTTGGACTCCGAATGCTGAAAATTTTCGCCTGCAGTGCTAAAAATGAATTAAATAGGAGGATTTATGGATTTATGGCTGTTTTATTATTAGATTTATGGCTTCAAAGCCTACCAAAATTCAAGATTAACGAGTGCTAGTACGAGAAAAAGATGGCAATTACGTGTACTAACAGGCCGGATCTCCCTTCCCCCGTTATAAAAATATTTACAAAATTAGTAAAAATAATCGGATTTTTGCATTTTGCCGTCTCAATTGTAGTTGCCATAAAACTCTTCCATATTATTAACAAAAGAAGTGTTATCAACTAAAATTTGAACATTTTCTTTATTAAAATTTTGTTACCTTCATTATTGAAGTTAAAATATATATTTAAATTTTATTATATTAATATAATAAAATTGGTTGAATCCTCATCATTTATATGCTGGATTTTTTTGAATAAAATTGTTTACGTGTCTAATGTTCATTCATAGCCCCCACATGACTATTCTAAAGGAAAATAATATTTTGTAATTTTTTATAAATTTAAAACACTTTATTTTTTAATTCTGCCATGTAACTGTTAAATGTTTGAGGAGAAATTTTTCTCGATTATTTAAAAAAATAAAAAAAATTTTTTTAATAAAAATTTCATTTATACATATTTATTTCTCTTGTTTGTTAATTGTTTCACATTTATGAAGAAGCAGACCATTTAGTATTTTCATTTGAATGGGAATTTTTTCTTAATTTTCAATTTCCCGTAAACAAATTTTGTTACAAAAATATTTTCATCTGACAAACAAAATTTTGATTGCGAGACGAGGAAGACAATTTCTTCAAGCTTCTTGCAGTATTTTTAGTTTTTTCTTAAAAATAATTATGATGCTTAAAGAAAGGGTTAAGCAAAAGTTTAGCCACCGGACAGGATTCGAATCTGCGACTTCCTGACAGTTATTGCTACCACTGAGCTACCGGGGACTAATGCTTTCTCTTTTATCCTTCTAGATCGTTTAAGCCCCGTCTAAGCGTTTTAAATGCTCAAGGTGAATCATCCTTACGATAATTATTGTTTTAAACATTCAAGCTTTTTATTATAAGTAACAATAATTCTTCATTCAATAATAATATTTATCGAAATTATATAAACGAATCAAAATTAAACGTTATAAGATTATTATTATCTTCACATTTTTCTCTTTATTTACAAAGAATAACAGAGCTCACTTGGATTCCACCTTCAATCACCATTTGACTAACTCTATCCGTAATATATCGTTGAAAACTAGTAAAATATTTGTTGTTTACATTGATCTAAAAGATTGATATTCAACCAATTAGAATATTATTATTAAGGATTACATGTATTGTAACCCTCTGTCCAGCAACAAATTCCAAAACAAAAGGTTCTCCAACTTTAAATGGAAAGCCTCCATGTATCTCGCCTCGTCCCCAACCTATGACTACCCGCATTGTGTTGAGTATAACCTAGAATTAAAGTTAAGTATAGGAATAGGGTTGTATAACATACGATAGTATGTTCATGCTGTGGAAAAATTGTGGATGGGAGATAGAATAGAACCATCACGGGAAGGGCCCAAACCGAAAGCAAAACCGACTGTGCCACCATCCAACCCAACGCTGGGTTATTTATTTTCATTTATGTACTTTTTGCAAGTGCGGACACAAAAGGTTGGGATTTAAAGTCGGACCGAGGTTCGAGTCATTTTTATCGGGCCGGCCCGACGAGTCTTTTCCGGGCCAAAATTCGATGCCCGACTCGATCTTTCGGACCAGGTCGGATCTGGCCACCAACTCTACAGTAGGAATCAAAGAGTAAAGTCCAGCTGTTTAACTTCCCTTTAAGCATTATATTTTCACCTGTCTTTCACCAAAATCCGCACTGAAGTGGAACATCACATTAACAATTACAGGTTCGGCAATGTAAATATTAAAATAATTAGGTTGTGCTAAAGGTGTTCCAAAAATTATAATGCGCTTTGGTGGGTTAAAGCCTGATCCAAATCCGAGCCTCACAAAATCGATTTTTGCCCATATTTTCTTAATACATTAAAGATGTTCAAGTTATTTCAATGAAAATACTCTAACCAAATTGCTTAAAACAATTTCTCCGCGACAGAATTGAGGAGGTTTTGTAGGAGTTGTGGTTGATAGAATTGAAATAGTTGGTTTCTTTGTTGTCGGTATATGTGCAGGACATAGAATAACAGAGCTCACTTGGATTCCATTTTCAATCTCCATTTGGCTAACTTTATCCAATTTAAATTTATATCGTGCAAAGCTGACAAAAAATTTGTTGTTTACTATGACCTAAGTTAACATTCAGCAAATTATTGTCAAAAAATATTTTAGTAAAGAAATAATTACGTTAATTAAATTATTAAATCCATCAGTTAATTCCAAAACAAATGGTTCTCCAACTTTAAAGGGAAAGCCTCCATAATCATCAGCTGTTTCCCAGCCTTTGCTTACAATCCATGTGTTGCGAATAACCTCGAAATAAATTTACATAATTTTGTAGTCTTCAAAATCTCTTTTACTTTATTTTCATGAAAACGTGGACTGAAGTGGAATAGCACATTAGCATCTACTAGCAATTTACCAGGTTCACCAATGTTTATGTTAAAAGCTGTAGGTTGTGCTAAAGGTGTTCCAAAAATTATGATGCGCTTTGGGAATCTAAAGCCAGTTTCAAATCCGAGCTTCACAAAATCGATGTTTGCCGGGATGGTCTTTAAAATTTGTTTAAAAATATTTGTTCTTTTATTTATACTCTAAACCAAGTTATTTAGAACAATTTGGTCAGGGCAGAATGGAGGAGGCTTTGTAGGAGTTGTGGTCGGTAGAACGTTAGTAGTTGGTTTTAATGTCGTAGTGGTAGGTAGCTCAGTCGTGGTTGAAGGTTCTTCAGTGCCGGTGGTTGGTTGCTTGGTTGTTGTAGTCGGTTCCTCCGTTATTGGTTCAGTTGTCAGAGTTGTAGGTTCTTCTGTTGTTGTGGTCGGTTCCTTAGTTATTTTATCTTAATCCGATTATGTAGTTAAGTATGGGAGAATTTAAAGTGCTATACCTTCTAAACTACCGAGGCGTTGCTTTTATTTTTTGTTTCAATAGATCTCAAATCCTCGCCCCTGTTTACCTTATATAAGAAAGAGTTTGAAAAAGTTTAGCCACCGGGCAGGAACCTGCGACCACCTGCTAGTTGTTGCTACGCGCTTCGCTCACCATATACAGAAGCTCTACCTCTGAGCTACCGGGGCATCGACTAATGCTTTCTCTTTTTCCTTTTTAGATCGTTTATATCCCTCCTAAGCTTTTTAAATGCTGCTCGGTGAATCATCCTTACATATATTCTATTAATTATCCATGATAATTATTGTTTCAACATCTCGCAGGGAGAGTAATTAATCTAGGTGGGGTAGCATTTGAGGGAGGATAATTAATAGAGTCTATAAGGTATATGGTAGCCTGCTGGATTTCCATTTGTTACAAAAATTCCTTACCACATCTTCATAATTAATCTTATATTCGCATATTGCCGTTATCATAGTTACCATAAAGCTCGTACATATTATTAATAAAAGAAGTGTTATCAACTAAGATTTGAATATTTTCTTGATTAAAATTAAGTTTACCTTCATTATTGAAGTGAATAAAAATATATTTAAATTTTATTATAATGTAATATTTGCTTGAATCCTTCTATCATTTATATGTATGTTGGATTTTATCGAAAAATTGCTTATTAATGTCATCAAAATTATTCGATAAGTTTTGTATTTTTTATAAATTTACAACATTAAATATTTTTATATTTAGTTATGTTCGATGTATAACGAGAAAATTTTTGGTTGGTTTAGAGGAACAGATATATTTTGTATTTTCAATTTATAATGTTTGTTCATTTATGAGGAAGCAGAATTTTTATTTATTATTTGGAAGGAAATAATTTCTTAATTTTAATGTTTAGTAAACATTCTTGTTAATATTTTATAAACTTCCTTATTAATATTCTTAAATATTTGTAGTATATTCTAAAACGAGCACAAACGAGCTCATGCAGCTATTTTGTCTTTTAATGCTAACTAGCATGCTCCGCACACTGGTCTCCTTTCCTTCCCAGTCCCAAAAGCTATATTTTTATTTTATAACAGAAAAGAAAAAATGAGCGCGCGCTGCTACCAACGCAAAAATGCAAGAAAATTGCGGACAAGTAATCTATTTGCGGATAGGTTTATCAGAAGTATGTACATATTCTTCATTTGGAAGTATTCTTTTCTTCGATGTACAAGACCTTGAAGCCACATCACTTAGACATAAATTTTAGGTAGTAGTTACTTTAGTACCATTTTGACGTAATATAGTCTGTGTTCTATTTTGTATACATTCAAAAAGGTACCATTTTGTTTTATTTGCGCCCAAGTACAATTATATCGTAGTTGTAGTTGTTTTTAATTCATGGATAAGTATTATTATCAAAAGATAAATTTTTAATAATTCAGCAAAAAAAATAAAAATCATTAATAGCGCAAGGATTCATTTTTTATGAAGATTATCCGCA